TAAGATTTTATTTTTTTGTTTTATAATCTTCCAATTTATTACCAAAGCTCAGTGTTTTAGCCAAGACTGTCACCATCAATCCCTGTGCTTACTTTAGCCAAGACAGCAACACCTTATAAAGTACTTCTTTCACGTTAACAAGGCGTACATTCGAAAACCATTTATTTCAACAAATAAAAAATAAAGTTCCTTAAACATTCTCTGCCAACAAAAGTATGGACACTTGTTTGTAAACTATGTATTAATAATAATTTATTTTACGCGCTTATGCAATTACTACCCACCCAAACGCATAAGAACGAGTTACCAAGCAGCTTTATGGCGTCTAAAGTATACACCTAATTACATAGAATAGTAAATGCCCACCAGTTAGAACATGAAGRAAAAACAACACAAATACAATAAAAAGCACAATACAAACATTGCAGTTCAAGGAAATTATAGCAGCTGAGTAAGAAATTACTTAATGAACTTATAACGGTATTAGGCGCTAATAATAGCTAAAAAAATTTTTGTAAGCGCTCCCAAAAACTTCCCTTGCACTCAAACGCTGTTTCCTTTGCATCTAACATTTGCAACATTCAATATTTTAGCCAAGTTCACAAGCATTATTTGTCAAGCAATTCTTAAGCGTGGACAGCAACCGCACTCATCTGTTTGAGTAATTTATATTTGCATTGGAATTTCTTTCATTTGGGCTCAAACGACTCAACCACTCATGCGTAAAATAACGGTACATGCTCAGTATAACACACATACACACACTTACTCACTCAAATATTGAAAATCATGCTTAGTCAAGTATTGCAAATGCAAGTGCGTAAATAAATTTTTAATAATAAATAAAAAAGTAAATGAAAAATGTGAAAAAATGCATTATCAGCAATTCAAATGAGTATAAAATAGCATATAAAAGAGTAAATACAAATAAACAATTGTAAGCTGTGTGTAATTTCGTATATAGTCAAAGAACAAACCAAGCAAAAAAGAAATATAAACAATAAATATACAATATATGTATGTATATGATTTGTATGACAGCAGTAAGCAAAAGAAAGTACTAATTAATTCACAATACTAGAGAAAGAGAACAAAAAAAAAAAAAACACAGAAAACAAATAATTAATTAAGTAACTATGCTATACATATGTATGTAGTATATGTATGCAACGGGCTTTTCACGCTGTGCTGTGCTG